ATAAGCATCGGTAGACAATATACGGCCACCGATAGAAAGACTGAGGTCTGCGGCTCTGGCTGAAGTCACTATCTTTCGTCCCGAGGCTAAACTCACCTCGAGAGGATCGACAGTGGTACTGACATGAACTCTGATGGCATCAAGACATCGTCGTGATATAAAAGTATGAGTCGCTCCAGTATCAAATAAGGCAAAGACAGGAATGTTATTAAGCATAAGCATCCCAGACATGGTACCTGTGTGTTGTTCTACCTCGGCCTGATCGACCGCATAAACATGTGCCTGTTGTTTGCCCCTCTGCTGCTGCTGGGGTGGCCTCTGGGTCTGCTGTCGGGGCTGCTGCTGCTGCTACTGTGGCTTCTGGGGCTGCTGTGGCTGCTGCTGGAGTTTCTTCGGACAGCGGTTAGCAAAATGTCCGGGCTCGTGACAGTAGTAACAAATATCCTGGCCCATGTGACACTCTCCGCGATGAAGTCGTCCGCAAGTGGGGCATTGTGGAATCTGTTGTGGCCTCTGTCGGGTCCTCCTGTCCGTCTGGGCACCTTTCCCCTTCCTCTTCTGGCCTTTCGGTGGTTGGGCAGCAGTCGGTGGAACTGGTGGAGCTGTAGATGACTGGCCTGGGGCAACTGGCTGAAGACGATCGCGATTAGCCTCCCTCCGAATACTGGCATCCACCTCCTGGGCAATGGAAGCAGTACGAGCGTATGTCTGGGTCCCGTGACCTACAATTGACGGACTGCTGGGTAAAGCCCGTCAGTGAAACGCTGTGCCTGCTGTGCCTCAGTACGCACCAAGTCTGGAACAAAGGCTCTGAGTCTGGTAAACTCTCTCTCGTACTCATCAACAGAACGAGTACCCTGTTTGAGCGACAGAAACTGCCGCTCCATCTCAGCTCGGTAGTACGTGGGATAATACTTCTCACGGATCATCTCTTTGAATCTTCCCCAGGTACGACCCTCCTTTTCTCCGGGACGCATGCTTCAGTAGGCATTCCACCAGAGTCGGGAATCACCGGTTAACTGAAGCTGTGCGCAAGTAACGCGATAACGATCTGGACAGTCCATGACCTCAAAATCAATTCAAGGCCCTGAACCCACTCATCAATGATATGCGGATCTCCCTGACTGGAGAACTTCTCAGGATGGTAGTCGCGAAATTGTGCGACTATCGTGGCCTGAGAAACAACAGGGCGGTCGGGTTCTCTACGGGGCGGCATCTGATCATTGTAAAAGTTCAACATGATTAAAATACAATGAAATACTTTAACTGATCATTAAAGCGCACAGATCTCTTGACGAGTTGGTAATCATGACTGGAAAATACTGACTGATATCCTGACTCCTGATCTTGAACATGATTTGAGCATCTTAACTAATTTATAACTCAAAATTTCTGAGCACAGAAATAGTAACTTGTTTATTATTTGAAAACATGAATCAACACTTACCTGTAGTCGGCGAGGCGTGAGCGTGACGTGTTCAGGTTTTCCAAAATTTTCTGACTCGTAAAACTTTTCAGAGACGCAGAAACGTGCTCTGATACCAACTGTAACACCTCGCCTTATCATGAAAATCAGAGTGCGTTTATACAAACCCTTTTAAATAAAATATTGATTTGCTTGCAAAATACTGATGCGGAGTGCTACCATAATACATGACTTACTTTAAGATCAGACTGTTTTTAAGAAAACGAACTCACAGTCCGCTGACAGTCAAAAGGACTAAGTTTGACAAAAGTGAAAAGTCAGCGGAAACTGTAGTGGCAAAATAGGATAGCAGTGCTATGATCGTGAAAATAAGCCTACGGGAGATAATAATAGCACTGCTATGCCAAATTTAAACTGTACAAAATGTAATTTAAACTTTATAAGCATACTCCCGTATAATTTAAACTTTATAAGCATAAGTCCTGAACCGCTCGTCATCTCACACCTCCGGCCCGACTCCATGACCTTTAAAAACATGATAAAAGTGGGTCGTGAGCACTAAAGTCCACTGTGCCGTAGAAACTCATACTAAAGTAAACAGTGAAAATAATTACAATAACATGATCCTGGCATATATAACTGAACTGAACTGAAACCGGTACTGAATAATCATGATCTGATACTGATATCGTGATAATCATCACCTGCCTGATACCTGAACATTTGCCAGCATAAATGTCAGACACCATGTGCACACTCTAGTGGGCAGACTAAGGCCACTAGAACCCAGAATGGACCGGCGACCATTCCGAGCGGATACTGATAATACATACCTCAAACATGGTAGAATAATTATAATCAATGTAATACCCAGTCTGAGTTCCCACCTGATTCGTCTGAATAAAAGGCAGTGCTGACAATCGAATCCTGATCAAACTGAAAATAATATAAACAATTACTAAA